TACACACACGTATGTATGTGTATATGTATATATATGTGTGTGTGTGTGTGTGCGTGCGTGTGTGTGTAAGTGTGTGTAAGTGTGTTGTGTGTGTGTGTGTGTGTGTGTGTGTGTGTGTGTGTGTGTGTGTGTGTGTGTGTGTGGTGTGTGTGTGTGTGTGTGTGTGTGTGTGTGTGCGTGTGGTGTGCACTTGCGTGTGTGTATTTACACCTCTCTGCCTCTCTCTCTCTCATCGTCATCAGCTTATTCCTCTTCTCCCACTCTCATTTCCGTCCTTCCATTGACTCTGTTGCAAGTCTGTGTTGCAATCGCCACTTTGGATTGTCTTCGTAATAATCTATTGCAACACGTATTTGATTTGAGCGACACAAACGTCAAAGAGGAAGACGAAAGAGAAATGATGCAGGTAGTGATGAATGTGATGATGATGGTGATGATGATGATATTAGTGATGGTAATAAAAGGTATTGTGATGATGATGATCGTCCTGATAATAGTAATGATAATTATGAGGGCACTAATGATAATGATAATTATAGCACAATAAGGATAATGATGATTATGATGTCACGTGATGATGATAATGATAATAATGATGATAATAGTAATAATGATAATAAGAACAATAATGGTTAACATTATTGATATTTTCATTATTATTATTATTATCATGATTACCATTATTGATATTAGTATTTGAATTATTATAATTATTATTGTTGTTGTTTTTTATTATCATTATTACTATTATTGTTATTATCTCATTATCAATATTATCATTATTTATTATAGCTATTTTCATTAACAATTAACAATTATCATGACATTACATCATGGAAATATTCTCAGTGGCGATGACACCAAATTCACAAATTAGACATCTAAACCAGAAGAAAAAAATAGATAAATAAATAAAAATATGTAAATAAATAGATAAAATAATAAAAAATAGAATACAAATAAGAATAAATAAATAACAATAGAATAAATAAAATAAAATAAATAATAACAAAATAAAATAAGAATAGAAATAAACAAATAAATGAAAAAATAATAACAATAAAATAAGAATAGCAATAAATAAATAAATAAAAAATAATAACAATAAAATAAGAATAGAAATAAATAAACAAATAAAAATGAAAAAAAACAAAAACACTAATTGGTATGAACAGGCACCCGCAACTAACACGACCCTCTCGCTGTCCCCCTCCCAGTGTCTCATAGTGCCAGAGGAGTGCCAGAGGAGAGAAATAACACGTACTGGCACCTCCCCTTATTGCAGATGTCGCCTTTGTCAGCCCCTTCCAGATAAGGAGAACAGGCAGTGACGTCTTCCCTTTAATTGTAGGCGTCTATGTCTTCCCTAATGAGCAAAGGAGATAGCCTGTGTATCATTATTTTTTTCATTGTTATTATTAATCTTATTGGTTTTCGTTTTTTTTTTTTTTTTATTTTATGAGAGGGGTTATCTGGGGGGTGGGATGTGATGGCTTTGTTTTGTATTTTATTATGTATTCTTTTCTCCCATTCTCTCTTTTTCTCTCTCTGTCTTTCATATTTGTATTTTTATGCTTTTTGATTTCATGTTTTTACACTACATTTTTTTTTTTTTCTCTCCTATTCTCTCTCTCTCTCTCTGTTTAGCACTTTATCATATTTTTTTTCTGATTTTCTCCCATTCTCTCTTTCTCTCTCTCTATCTTTCATCTATGTAACTTTTTTTCTGTTTTTTTTCGTGTTCATGGGTCTTTCTTGCAATCAATATTTCACTATTTCATTTCCGAATTCACTGAAAGCATAAATTAGAATAAAAATTTCCCAAAAGGTAAAGTTGAAAGATTCAATTCGATTTTTCAAGCCACGTTCTCCTCGCAGGTTTTAAAAATTTTGTGCTTTAATTAACAGGGATAAAGAGTGATATTTCACGGATTATTATTGTCAAGATTTATAGCTGCCATTTTTCGTAGATTACTAAGAAATTATTGCAGGACATTCTTTAGATGCAAGTCTTTTATCCGTCGCTATCTATCACCGTGACGAAATTACAGGGTTTGACATTTTTAATAGTCGACGGAAATTCTGCGCAGCTTTTTGTTTCTTGGGACAGTGACTGTAAATAAGGGTCAAAGCGCATTTGTTCACTCCTTTATAATGTTCTTTGTGGATTTTACTGTTTTAGAGTTTTTAGTTATTTTCGTGTTTGTTCTTGCTATTGTATTATTATTATATTATTTATTATCATTATCATGATTATTAGTAGTATTATAGTATTATTTCTATTATTATTATTATTATTATTTATTATTATTATTATCATTTTATTCTACACTTTACTACATGTTCTGCTTTCGTTCATAACCGATTTATACCAAGAAATGTCCCCCTCCCCTCACCTTTTTAATCAAATTAATATATCCCCAAAGCCAGACAATTCCTTAGCCACTCTAACAAACCCACTCCACCTTCTTAGCTCC